CAACTCCTGGGCTCAAGCGAGTCTCCTGCCTTAGCCTCCCAAGTAGCTGGGACCACAGGCGCCCGCCACAACGCCCGGCTATTTTTTGGCTGCGGCCATCATTGTTGTTTGGCGGGTCCGGGCTGGATTCGAACCTGCCACCTTAGGTGTATGTGGCTGGCACCTTAACCGGTTGAGCTACAGGCGCCGAGCCTAAGGGTTTTTATTTTTATTTAATTTTTCTTATACATGTGTATATATTTTTTAAAAATAAACCTTTAAGGTTTTTATTTACCTATACATGTGTATATTTTTTACACTTACATACTTATTTTCTTACTTACACATGTGTATATTTTTTACACTTACACACTTTACTTATTTTCTTACTTATACATGTGTATATTAGGTTTTTTTAATTTAGTTTTAAATAAACCTTTTATTTAATGTTTCCACTTTTACCTTTACAGAATTAAAAAGGTTAAATTTAATGACAATAATATTTAACATAAGGATGTATTTTTTTTTCCCATTCAGTGTCTCCATACCTCAGTCTCTTCACGGACTCTAGCAAGTATTTTTTTTTTAAAATAAATATTTATGGCTCGGTGCCTGTGGCTCAAGTGGCTAAGGCGCCAGCCACATACACCTAAGGTAGAGGGTTCGAATCTAGCCCGGACCCGCCAAACAACAATGATGGCTGCAACCAAAAAATAGCCAGTCGTTGTGGCGGGCGCCTGTGGTTCCAGCTACTTGGGAGGCTAAGGCAGGAGACTCGCTTGAGCCCAGGAGTTGGAGGTTGCTGTGAGCTCTGATGCCATGGCACTCTACCCAATGGGACAGCTTGAGGCTCTGTCTCAAAAAAATTAAATAATTAATTAATTAAATATTTATTTTTCAAATAAACCTTTTATTTAAGGCTTTATTTACTTATACATGTGTATATTTTTAAATAATAAGTAAATAATAAGTAATAAGTAAATAAGTAAATAATAATTTAAATAATAAGTAAATTAACCTATTTACTTATACATGTATATATTTACTTATACATGTGTATATTTTTTAAATAAAAAGTAAATAATAATAAGTAAATAAGCTTATTTACTTATACATGTGTATATTTTTTAAATAAATAAATATTATTAACTGAGACTCCATATCTCAGTCTCTTCATGGGCTCTAGCAAGTATTTTTTTATTAATTTTTAGTACTTATACATGCGTATATTAGGTTTTCACTTTTGCCTTTACAGAATTAAAAAGGTTAAATTTAATGACAATAACAATATTTAACATACGGACGTATATTTTTTTTCCACTCAATGTCTCCATACCTCAGTCTCTTCATGGGCTCTAGCAAGAGTTTAAGGCATTTGAAAGGTTTAGGGAGGCTCGGTGCCTGTGGCTCAAGTGGCTAAGGTGCCAGCCACATACACCTAAGGTGGTGGGTTCAAATCCAGCCTGGCCCTGCCAAAAACAACAATGATGGCAGCAACCAAAAAACAGCCAGGTGTTGTGGCAGGCACCTGTGGTCCCAGTTACTTGGGAGGCTGAGGCAGAAGACTTGCTTGAGCCAGGAATTGGAGGTTGCTGTGAGCTATGATGTCACATCACGGCACCCTACCCAGGGGGATAGCTTGAGGCTCTGTCTCAAAAAAAAAGAAAGGTTTAGGGAAAGAAATAAAGCGCTCAACATAATCAAAAACAGAGGCCTTGGGGGTGAAGAGACAAAGACAGCCCCATTAAAGGAGGAAAGGGCAGACAGCACACTGCTCTTGAGGAGGGAGAGCAACTTAGTTGATGGCACCTGGTACCTAGCCAGACCTGGGGAGGAGTGTGCTATAAGGACACAGAGGGGCATAGGATCCCCAAGCCCAGGATTTCAAACTCTTCCAAGCAAGCAACCACGAATACCAGCCTCTCACCCTGTCCATGGCAGACCTCCAGCTAAAGCCACCTCTTCTCTCACCTCCTAAATTCTCTCTCATATCTACTACACCCTTCCCAGTCAAAATTTAAAATTAAGGGCATAAGTTAGCCAGGTGTGGTGGCTTGTGCCTATAGTCCCAATTACTCAGGAGATTGAGACAAGAGGATTGCTGAAGCCCAGGAACTCCAGGCTGCTATGAGCTGTGACTATGCCACACAGGTGAGAGAGTTTCTGTCTCTAAAAACAAACAAAGATCAAAAATCCCCCTATAAATCTAATTATGTCTCTTCTTGCTTCCAATCCTTTGTGGTTCCCCTCTTGCTCTTGGGATAATGACCCTAACCCTCCTAGAGTGTGGCCTCTAAGGCCTTGCAGACTAGTTAAAAACACCTTACAGATCCTACCCTAGAGCTTTGCTGTTGATTCTAACTTTGATACTGTGGCCCTGAATAAATTCTGCTGGGGTCTTCACCAAGGGAACCAAGTCAGAAAGCAAGGTTTCCTCTCAGTTCCTAGAAAGTGGCCTGGGATTCTGCCTTGCACTAGTATACTCCAGTCTGCTATCACCACCACCTACCATTCATTCGCTAAAGATCCAGCCACTTACGGTAGATGCATATCTGTCAGCAAAATCTTCACAATCATCTTGAGTTTCTCAGCAAAGTCAGCCTGGGTAGAAATTCCGGGTGCTGCCATGCTGAATGTGATCAATAACACAGCCCCTAGGATGGTGAGTTGCTCCAGCTGCAGCTGGAGCTCTTGGAAGCGGGACTGGTCCATCAAAACTGTCTGTAATAAATACAAGGTAAGTCATGGCTGAACTGAAGGTTTGCACTGGCCAGCAGGGGGCAGTGGGATCACAGTTTCCCTCATGATGTTCTAGAGGTGTTTGGGAGCTATGAGGGAGTCATGTGTGGAAGGAGCATGCTTCCATCTCAGAGCCCTTTCTCTCTGCGAAAGGGTGTGATATAAAGCACTCACTGAGACAGACCTGGGGATAAATCCAGGCTCTGCACTTAACAGTACTATGACATCATGCAAGCTTTTCAGAATGGGATTCTCAATTTGCAGGGCTGTTTTAAAGATGAAAAAGACCCTGTATATAGGCTGGGGCGCCTGTAGCTCAAGTGGCTAAGGCACCAGCTACATACACCAGAGCTGGCAGGTACGAATCCATCTGGGGCCCGCCAAACAACAATGATAACTACAACCAAAAAATGGCCGGGTGTTGTGGCGGGCGCCTATAGTCCCAGCTACTTGGGAGGCTTAGGCAAGAGAATCGCTTAAGCCCAAGAGTTGGAGGTTGCTGTAAGCTGTGACGCTACAGCACTCTACACAGGGCGACAGCCTGAGGCTCTGTCTCAAAAAAAATAAAAAGAAAGAGAGAACCTGTATATAAAATGGCTGTCAGAGCCAGCACTAAATAAATAAAGGTTATATCGTCAGAAGGGAAGGAAGTGGCTTATGTCTGTAATCCCAGCATTCTGGGAGACTGAGGTATGTGGATTGCTTGAGCTCATGAGTTCAAGACTAGCCTGAGCAAAAGCAAAATCCTGTCTCTACTAAAAATAGAAAAACTGAGGCAAGAGGATAGCTTGAGCCCAAGAGTTGGAGTTTGTTGTGAGCTATGATGCCATGATACTCTATCCAGGGTGATAGCTTAAGACTCTGTCTCAAAAAAAATAAAAGGAAAAAGTAATGAAGTACAGAGCTAGAGTGACCAGTTCCTTCAGGACTGTCCCAGTTTTAAAACAGAAATCCATGCAAGGTGCTGCAGCTCATTCCTAAAATCCCAGCTTTTTAAGAGGCAGAAGCAGGAGAACTGCTTAAGGTCAAGAATTCGAGCTGACTCTAGGCAACATATTATGACCCTCATCTCTAAAACCAAACCAACAAACAAAAAATTAGCCTGGCATGGTGGTGTACACCTGTAGTTGCAGCTACTTGGGAGGCTGAGGCAGGAGAATCGCTTTAGCCTAGGAGTTTGAGGTTATCACTGTATTGCAGCCCGGGTGGTGACAGAGTGAAATCTTTTTTTTTTTTTTTTTTT